CTCCTGAGCTCAAGAGGCCCGCCCACCCCCGCCTCCTAGAGTGAGCCACCACACCAGACTTTGGTTTTCTTAAATATTTTTCTTTTTTTTTTTTTTATAGAGACAGAGTCTCACTTTATCACCCTCAGTAGAGTGCTGTGGTGTCACAGCTCACAGCAACCTCCAACTCCTGGGCTCAGGTGATTCTCTTGCCTCAGTCTCCGGAGTAGCTGGGACTACAGAAGCCCACCACGACGCCCAGCTATTATCTTGTTGCAGTTTGGCCAGGGCCAGGTTTTAACCCGCCACCCTCAGTATATGGGGCCGGCGCCCTACTCACTGAGCCAGAGGCACCACCCTTCTTAAATATTTCTTTCCTACATTTTTGTCTTCGTATAGAAGGCCAGAGTTTAAAGCGGGTAAAAGTTATGGCACCTCCCCACCTCTTTGCACATCTTCTCAGTATGTGCCCTTGCTCTGACCACCAGGAGCTCCCTTCTGCCAGAACCCACTTGGGTTTGGTCTATCTAGGCTCCTTCATCCTCACCCCAGTCTGACATCAACTTCTATGCCCACTGAGAGCACAGAAACTGTGACTGGTTGTGCCCTCACATCAGAAGCAAGCACCTGGAGTCCAGGAGGCTCAAGGACACCTACTCGAGCTGGTCTTGGGGGTTGTCATACCAGAGCAGCACCCAAGGGTTCAGACTACCTAGTCTGGGACCCACCCAGAGTATCCAAGCCTCGGGAAGCAGCTATGGCCCCCATTTCCTCTCTGGGAGCCCAGGCCTGTGCTCAGGTCCAAGGACATCTTTGCTCTTTCTTTCCAAAGCCACCACTTTCCATCCACTTCTTTCCATCCACTTCTGTGGATGCTAGTGAACACTCAATGCCACTAAACTGCACACTTAAAAATGCTTTAGATAGCAAATTTTATGTATATTTTACTGTAATAAATTCTGTAACACTCCACCCCTCTAGGAGATGAGGCCCTTCTGCAGCCTTGGCTCTAGGCTGCCACCTCCTGTCCCCCCAAAGATGTCAAAATGGGGATCTTCTGCTTGCTACAGCCCAGCACCTGCAAGTCACATGATGGATACACAGCTGCATCAGGAACCCATGGCCTCAGCTCTTATCCTCTTTTTTCTCTCCCCTCTCAACTACCCTTAACACACTCAAGGCTTCCTGCCAGTTCCTGCCCATTCCCCAAACCCAAGGGAACCACTGTGCAGGAGGAAAAGGTGGTGGCACCAGGTATAGCCCCTGCCCGCTAGCTGCACCACCTACCTCTCAGAGCCATTTATCCTGCTTTTGTAAAAAATAAAACCATCAAAGTGTGGGTAACAGTCTTCCCACAGCGTAAGCAGAAAATCATTGGTTCCAGTGAGGCTCCTTCTGTTCTACCCTTGCCTGGGCTGCCAGCAAAGCTGGTGGTGGCTTCCCTATGGGTAGAGAAACAGGGCCTGTTCCATCTGGTAGACCCTCCTGACACTGCAGGTTCCTTCCTATGAAAGGGACACATCTCTCAGACTCATACTTCCCAACTTCCCATCTTCAATGAAATGTACAAGCACTGCTGAGGACAGGAAGAACTCATTGTCATGATAAAAAGTGAAAATGTGGGGACAAGGCAGGGGATTGGTGTGCTGTCACCCAATGGGCACAACGTAAAGGTATATGGCACACCCTCTAGGCAACAACAGGAACCTCATCTAACCCAAACATTGCAACCTAATTGTACCCTCGTATTATTCTGAAATTTAAAAAAAAAA